GAACCCTGTGCTGCGAACTCGGCTTTTAAAAAACAAAACACTGGGTTCAGAACAACCCCCAAGTGTCTTCGGAGAGGGTTTTCTAATGCAGCACTTGAAAGGGTTTGCCCAATTCAAAATCCGATCCTTATAACAATCCCCCCGATGAGCCCTCACATGAAACGCAATTCAAGACTGTCTACTTGGTTACGAACCTCTTGCTTGAGGGTTCCGAATTTGGCAGGATGGGTGACTCAGATATGAACTTAATACGAGCACCGACAATAACCTTTTGTTGCTCTATATATGTATCATTGAAACGTGTCCTGAGCCTTTGCACAACATCAACCGGAGACTCCACCTCACAACAGTTCCCTCTGAAGTCTAAGGGTCCGTATGTTGTTGTTCCGATGCGACTGGGCTGAGCTGGGAGGTACATACCGATTACGACAACCTTCATTGTCTGATTCGCTGCTGCTTTGTCTTCCGACTGGGGCGGCATCATTTTCTGACTCGACCCGCTGCTGTTTTGCTGACTCCATTTCCCAGGCCAGAGCTTCTTTACCTGCCCTGGAACTCTGTTTGTGTATTGCACTTTCATGTGTTCTTTGCCGATGTAAATCTCAACTCACGTGCTGCACGGCTTTAATTCCACAGGCCGGCTGCTGGCCTGCGTGAACAGGCATTGCGGGGCCGGTCATAGGCCTGACTTTGGAGTGAGATGGCTATGGATACCGCTTCGTCCACTGAGAGTCGTGCCCGTCGAAAAGGCCTGGCCTCAAAAGCATCCAATTTGCAAAGCTTGAAAAGCACTCGAGAAGTGTGCCCTTTCAAGCTTCAGATGATACCGACATGATGCAGTAGGTGACCCAACTCGGCGCCAAAGCCGGGGCCCTCCATGTGCTGTCTGAGCTGGTCAGACCTCTCAATGCAGCTGTCACACCATCCCACCCTACGAGTAGCCAATGTTTTGTGCCCAAGGTTCCCACATTGATGCACCAGGACCTGGCCCCATTCTCGGCCTGGCGTCACTTAAAGTGCAAAAGATGTCGGTTTGTTCTGAAAGGAAAACGGCGGTGGCTCCCGTGCATGCCAGGGCCGGCTTCCCGCCAGGCGCTTTCAAGCTCCTCAGCTGGAGCCCAGGCTTCCAGGAAGGGCTTATGGACAGCTGCAGCATAAGTGTCCCGCACTAGGACCCCTCATCGGATCCATCATTTGGCCACCGAGAGGGCCCATCCTCAGAGCATGAAGGTATCACAAGAATGGCCCTAGCAGGTCCTCTCAGCCCTTCTTGACGCCATTCTGGCTGAGTCCTGCACGGTGGCCTCAACAAAGGTTAGGAGCTGGTCAGGACACAACCAGCATTCTAAACCGCGCCTGATTCCAGACATGTAGCCCTCTCGCATTTGTTGCGCATGGTGCTTGTCCTCAAACCGGCGAGCGAGAGCAAGCAATCCCAACTCATGGAACCGTGCAAAGATGTTGATACAATCGCTATCGGTGGTGAGCCTGCTAACTTCACTATTCGTGGAACATTCGTGTAGTTGGGGGCGGGGCTGCAGTGAGCGAATCGAAGGCCCTGGAGAGCGGGTTTCCCGCAAGGCCATCGACGCTGCAGCCTCAGCAGATGCAGGCTGTGTCCCAACGGTTCTAATTCCATTTCACAGAACCAGAAGCAACCGAGCCATGCACTATCTGGCTTAAAGAATGGCCTCATGGCCTCAAAACGTGAACGTGTCCAGATGCTCGGGGGTGAGGTGCCACACCCTTCCTATTTTAAGCTGTTGTGTCCCATGATTCAGTGCCACAAGTGGGCAAAGGTGTGCTTAACGCCCTCTGGTGTAAGTGTGACTGAAGTTGGCGTCTGAGTGTGGGAGCTGTTTTGGGTGAGTCTGAGAGCTAGATGAGGGTGCCCGCGACAATTTCCTCGAAACTTCTGCTTTTTGGGTAAAACTGCAAAGCACCCTGTTGTACTGGCTTATTAACGGCTGTAGAAGCATGTGCTGAAAATGCAGCCTTTTGGCCCGGAGCCAACGAGGTTGCGAAAGGCGAAACAAGACGTCAAGCAGAGAAGCACGCATAAGCCATGTTCTTGTTTGCACCGGCCTGCGGCAGTGCTTCGACGTTTTTGCTGTCCGTCGTGGTGTTACTGGGTCGTGCTAGCCTAATGCTACGTAGGAGTGCAACAGGTGCCCTGCGTGGGTTGCCAGGGCAAGAGAAACTGAAAAGAGCATGTTCACCCGAACGCCTCTTGCGCTTGAGCGCAATTGGGCACCATCCTTCAATTCACCCATCCCCCGAGTTCTGCATCAGTCTGCATTTGACTACACTCTATCCAAAGGATGCACCCAGGTTTAGGTGAACTGACATGCTCCGAAGCTAAGATAAGGAGTGAAACTGCTACGATCTGCGAGAAACGTCACCAGACTTGCGCCATCTATTCCTGGGGGCTTCTGCCGCCCTTGGACATGCTCAGAAGCTCTTGTGGCATGAGCCCATCTGCCTGCCAAAAGCACGCAAACGACACTCTAAACCTTCAGTCATCACGAAGCAACAGCTGGGTCTCAACAATATGCAGAATCCAGGGCCTGGTCAGCGCATCATCAGGTGATGGGGTGGGTACTGCACAGGCGGTGCATAGTGTGCATGGGGACCTGAGCGCGCACAATCACAGCAATTGAAGTCATGATGGCTCGTAGCTTGGGACACAGCTGAAGTAGTGAGGCGCATGAGGCGGGTAGGGCGACATGTGGGTCATCATGTCGGGGGCACCTCACACGAGGTTTGCTGTTTGCAAATCTGCAGCGGCTGCCCTAGAACCAAAGGGGCCTAGATAAGCTTCTGGAGGTGCATAGGGCATGGCGTGAGCATGTCCAGGTAGGCCAGGTCCTCGCCATGTCAGCACTTTCTTCAACGCTGCAGGTGAAGGAATTGCGAAGCTCGCCTGGTGGCATACTTGGCCTCACAACAGCAGTTTGCTTTCAAGCTGCCCCATGAAGCTGGCAGAGCTTTGCTCAGGGATTTGCGAATGGTGATACATGGGGGCCAGCGCGGCCAAAGCTTTGGTGGCACGCTGCAGGATTACCTGCGGAGCGCAGCAGAGCCCATCTTTAATGTCACAAGATCAAGCCAATTGCCAGTGACGGATTGCCTCGCCACGTTCAAGAAGGTCATCAATGTCCTTCAGCAGAGACCAGCATGTGATCTAGAAAGCACACCACTCAGGCTCAGCAGACTTCCGGAAAGGATCGTCTAAAAGAGCCATCATCTGCCGTCCTTCTGACCAGACTCCTCTAGCGTAGCGGAAATCTGGGCGAGGTGCTCATACATCTGCTTCATGTGCCTCAAGCTTGAGTACGGCTGAGACATCTTCCCATGACTCAAAATCGTTCATCTGCAAGTGTGCCCAACTCCAACCTAGCTGGATGGACAAGAAACAAGCACATTGCATTTTCCTCGCACTAGCGCGGGTATCCTCCGCTGCCTCCCGATAGTCCAGGTGTTTGCAAAGGATGCTTCACAGGTTTCTCAGCATCAGCGGCCTCCCCTTGCAGCCGCAAGGTCGCTTTGTAAGAGCTGCTTCTCCCCGGGCTCGAGCGTTGAATGTGAGGTAGGGTCCGGGATGATTCATGGAGGGACCTCTGACCTTTCACTGCACGGCACCTTCCAGGATATGGCCGGCCAGCATGAGGCAGGATGAACTCCACCCATCTCTGAGATCATGTGAATCATGTGGTCTTCTTGAGATCCTTGCCCTCGCTATTGCTCTTCGCCAGCGTGAAAAGGTAGCCGCCCCCAACAGAGAGGATCACGCCGAATGCCTGCCACAGCTGACGTGCTGCGCTACGGCTTCTCAGTTTCAGAATGATCCGAGAGTTCAATGAATGCTTGCTTTACCTCATCAGATCCTCTTAGTCTGGGAGGGCCGGAATCAGCAGGCAAAGTTTAGCCGAGAAGCGCTCAGCAGGCTTGTCTGGTCCCCGTAGTACAGAGTCAACACTACAATCATCAAAGCCTGCCAGCATGCGATTCGGTGCGGTCTTTGGATGCTCTATCGTGTGGGCATCGTTTGGCCGCAGCTGGGTCATAGGTCGCGCACTCTCCTGTTAGAGAAAGCAATGCAAGGCAAAGATCCTAACATCACATCTTTGCACCAAATCAATGCGCGTCTGTGGAGATGGCCTAGATTGTTTTTGCAGGCTGAATGATGTCCATACCAAGTGGTTACCAAATGCAGGTGTTGCTTCACTGCTGCCCTGCAAGCTATAGCTCGACCATCAATGGAATTATCTGATTGAGCCGCAAGATGCACATCAAGTCTCATGAAGTTACACGCCTGTGCTACAAGTAAGCTCGTCATTGCGGTCATTGCGACTTCTTGCCTACATACAAGTCTGGCGGCTGGACTTGGATCTAAAATTCCGGCGCATGACGCTCTCGCCTTTGGAAAAGGGAATGGATCTTTGCTCAAACTGACACTGCAGCCACGATCATCTGTCAATCGTGGCAGCAGCCTTGACCACTGGCGTCAAAACAGAGAAGGCCTCAGACGCACGTAGACGGCTGGTATCATGCTGATTTCGTCCGGTCTGGCAAGGATACATCTATATTACATATCCATAATGTGTATATGAAATGGTTCGCATGCCTCCTACGCGTGACATTCTTCCTACCTCTTCAAGAAGGGAGTCTTTGTTGACGGTGCTGCCCCTCGACAACCAGCCGTGTTGAAGCTGAGCGGCCAAAGGGCTGAGCTGAGTCATAACAAGCAGCTGGACGAACCTTGATTTGCTCAGCTCGACATTGCATGCTTGCTGCTAACCACTAGCAAAAGAAACTGGGCAGAGCTTGTACATGCCTCATTCTACCAACAGTTCCTCTCACCTGCCCAAAAGCCTTTCTTGCCAAGTCTCTGGTACAGGAAGAAGAAGATGCTACTCATCAACATCTCCTTTGAGTCAACTCAGGGAAACTAGCTCCGCTGTTTCGGAACATGGCTGCTGTGCCAAGCGCGGCTTGGGGGCCGCTGCGAAGATCCACCGCTGAGGCTCGTCTAAGGCTTGCCTCAGAAGGAGGAGTCTGGGGATCGCACAGCAGGCTTCGCAAGGCTTCAGTCAAAGATGCAGCGCCGGAAGCACCTTCAGGTGGCTTGGCGGGAGAGGACAGTGCGGCTGCGACTTGGAAAGCCAGCTGCGCCTGCGTGCCCTCCAGCGGAATTTGAAGCAAAGGCAGCGCAACAGTCGCTGCCCAGCTGACGTTGAAGAAGACGGCCACATCATCTAGCCTTGCTAAAGCTGCTCAGGAGTATACAGTCTATAACAGAAATCTACAGGAGGAAATGAGGTCAGCCCTGAATCTTGCCTCAAAGCGCTTACTTATAAAAGTGCATGTGCTTGCCTACCCTACATTCTTCAGGATCGCCGTGACAGTTCAACCCTCGACTGCGCTGGGCAAGGCAACATTGGCCAGTCTCTCTTAAAGCCACGCGTTGGTCTAGGAGTCTAGCAGATTACAAAAGACCCCAGAGCATTTCCAGTTCTCAGATGCACTGAGTGGGCAAGCAACTTGTTCTCTGGGTTGCGGCGCAATCGTTGCAGGCAAAAAGACCGACCTCGATTGAGCCGAGTCCAACCTCTTCTCTCCTCCTCCGCTTCTTTCTTGTTCTTGCGCTTGTCTGCCACAATTGCGGCAAGACCCATAGCAAAGCAGTGTTGCCAGCAGCACCAGCAGCAGCAGCAGCAGCAGCACCAGCAGCAGCAGCAGCAGGGCACCGCCAACAACCGCCACCAAAAGCAACAACACACATTCATTGTCACAATCACCACAAGTCTGTTTACAGGCGTCCAAAGTCCAAGCGTTCTAATAAGTTGCATTCATCTGACAAGCATGCATGCTTGGACATATCTCTGCACAAGCAGCGCCAATGTTTGGAAAGAATAAACATGATTCCGAGAGTCTCTGGCCCCATTATTTCAAAGCTGTTGCCTGCAAGATCTCTGGTCTAAGCTTGCAGTTGGTCAGATGCCATGCAGCCCTTCTTCTCGCCAATTAAAAGTAAAGCCAAGAAGCAGCAGAACGCCACGTTTGAAACGGTGGCGAGACAAATGCCTGTGGCGGAGAGGCTTCCAGCAGTCAGCGATGCCATCGCAACCTTGCCCCACCACATCACACACATCACGGATCAGCTTCTGCCTTCAAGCAAATTCCACTAGTGTACAAGAACAAGCTTGCCCGGCTCTTGATCGGCGAAGGCAAGTAGCTCCACCGCAGATTGGCACAAGCGTGGCTAGCACCTGCCATGAAAATCGTTGACCCAAGGCTGCTCCAACACAGACCGTCGCCAGGGGCTCCATACAACCTCAGCACATCCATGTGTAGCCCAGATATTCCCATTGCTGGCCATGATGCTGCATATCCGACGGCTGAGAAAATCATGAGCCCCTTGCAGACGGGAGTCGAACGACGTTGACCATGCCAGGGCTCATGTACAGGGCTGCTGCATTAAACATCACGAAACCACCTGTCCACCTGAGCTGCGACCCATGTCGCTTCAGTCCAACAGCTTATTGACGCTCAGCCAGATGCCAGTCGTGGCCGCTTAGCCAAGCAACACACCACTGAGCGGGACAATATCGAGCAAAACAGCCCGTGGTGCCAGAAGCTTGGGCACACTCTTAGTCACCTGCAAAATGCATTCGTGACAGCGCAAGTTCTCGGGAAGGGCCTCTGTAGGGCCCGGAATCGCTTTAGCTGTACTTGATTCATCCATGTTCATCCATGTTCATCCACGACACAATCCTTGTTAAATGCAGGTGTACCCTTTGTATCTTCAAAGCTTCTACCACCTTGTGACAACTACAAAGGTCCTTTGAACAAATCAGTCGGTTCGGGACATGGCTGCAAGAACAGCTCTCCAATAGACTCGCACAGACTCGGCACATGCGGCCTCGCTTTGGGCACGCGCGACCCATGCAGAGGCGGAGAGCACCGTGGAGACTGCAAACTGCGCCAGGCACAGCAGCAGAGGAAGACCAGCCTGGCTCGTGCACCTGCAAAGGCCGAAGTGACAAAGCTCCAAGGCAACCTGCGAAGCCGCGAAGCTCCAACCACTGGCAAGTGTAGGCCTCTTCGCAAAGATGATCATGAGCAGCTGTGTGGTTACCAGGAGTGTTATCCTGAGCTCCAAAATGCACAGGAAAGGGAGGAGTTGGAGAGTCGGAGACTCCAGGCCAGGCTTCCATTTTGCCATCGCCAGCCATTCCGGTGCGCCTGCGCTTTCAACCTCATCAAATCTCATCAACTTTGCTTCTCCCTTTTGGCAGGTCTGCTTGGTGTCAGCATCTTAGATTTGAGACTTGCCACCTTAACGTGTGCTGTCGATGCGGATGCCTTCACTTCCTTGCTGTCCTTCGCCTCGGCCTTGTTGGACTTGACCTTTGGCGCCGGACTGGCCGCACGGTGACGTTGGCTTGCCTGAACTTCGGCAGACGAGAAACTTCTGTCACAAGAGACAGTACAGCAGCTCTTGGCCCAATCATGAAACATCCTCCCTACATGTTGTCAAAATTCGAAGGCCTTGAGGCTCTCTACTTTGGATGCTTCTTCCATGGCACCCTAGAACCCAGAGCAGCATCCAGGCCGGCGGGCTCTTTGCAGAGCTTGTTGACAGCATAAAAGAGGGAATGTTGGTAGGTCTGTCAGACGGTTTTGGAGTTTACCGTAGCAAGCCCGCAACCAAAAGAAGGCTCAGCTTGAGCCAGACAGATTTCACAAGTTATTTGCTGCAATGCCTTGCTCAGAGGCTAGACTCGGCGCGCTCTGAGCCCCCTGCACCTGTGCCGGGGTGGGCTTGTCCTAGAGAAGAGGTGTAAGAAAGCCAGCAGCTTTCAGTAAACTGGCTTCGTGCTGAAGAGGGAAGTCCTGTTGCGGATCCTGCCAAGTCGCTGCATACCAAGCTTGCCGGCACTGGGCACATTCCCTTTTGGCCTCGATTGCTGCGTAGATTGTGTCTATAGCAGCCTGCACACCGTACAAAAAAATCTTGTGTAAAAATCCAAACAGCTGAGTTGGCAGTCTGCAGGCCTTGTGATCCGCCATAAGATCGGCATTGTGGTTGTGAACAATGATGGTATGGTGGAGATCGCGCTGGCAGGCGGTATCATATGACATGCTCAAAACCTCAAACTGCTCATCTTCAGCAATCGACACAAGGATTATCAAACATATTATTATTATGAGAATGATTATTGTATGATTATGACTGTTATTATTGTGACTATGCTTATTATATGATTCTTAGTATTCTGTTTTTTTATTGTGAATATTATTGCAATTATTGTAAATTATGCTGCCAATATCTTCGGCAATCCGCTCTGTGGCAGCAAGCAGCCACGCCGGCCTTGATCGCCTGAAACTCCTGATCCAGACCACTAGGGCTCTCTGTCGCTATACGAATTGTAGTCTAAACTCCTTAAAGGGGATTATCTTGGGGGTTATATAGGGACTACCATAGGGGGTCATCAAAGGGGGATACTAGGAGGTTATCCAGACTTTGGAGGATGGCTTTGCTTTCTGTCGTTATATGGGGGTTTAGGGGATTCTGGGGGGTTATATAGGGGTAGATATGCTTCAAATAGGGTTTAGGGATCAGGGTCACATGAACTATAGTCTAAACTCCTCTAAGGGGGTATATTGATGGTTATATAGGGGACTACTATAATGATTATCAAGGTCATTATATGGGGGTTTCCTAAAATTAGGGGGTACCATATTGGGGTTCCCATAATAAGGATTATAGTATAGCAATTTGGGTTCTATATTGGTGCCCCTAATTTAGGGAAACTACCCTATACTTTTGCACTCGAGAATGCGAACTAGGCCAGTAGGCCAGGTTCCCACAGATCCTGATCATGAAATTTAAGAAACCTCCCATATAACGACATAGTACTCCGTATATAACCCTCAATATCCCCCCCCCCCCTTAAAGGAGTTTAGACACACGCAGGATGTGACATCGCCACGTTGGCATGCTTCATAGACTTGCGCCATGATCTGAAGATTCAAGAGCCATGTGTGACACCTTGTTCTAGATGCCTGAAATGCAGCCCTGGCATGCCTTCCGCATGCAGACAAGCAGCCGGGCAGGCTTACTCTGCATGCCCTGTACATGGGAAATGGAGTTTAATGCCCGAGAGCTGAAGACTTGACGTTAATTAGGCCGTATTCCATAGAAGGCTCTTGCGCACCAGTGCTTGTCAGACTTCAGATGCCAGGAGGTATAGTAGCTGCTCAGGGACTTCTTAACCACTCCTCTTCAAATTATCTTCGGGCTGTCTGCAGTTCAGCTAGAATCTAGAACCCTCGCGCAGACAGCCCGAAAGGCTCACATCGAAGCGACTACACAGAGCTTCACAAACACCGGAATCAAGCAGCAACCAGACTTATACAGACTATGGCTCTGCTTTCCCACCACGCTTCGGGAGCTTCCTGCTCTTTCTTCTGCTCCATCCCCGCGATGGTCTTTTCCAGCCCTTCCTCGAGCTTCAGCTGTCAAGCAAAGTTTGCTGAGAGAGCTGAATTTGGCCTTGCAATTCAAAATTGACTGCAAATTGTTCTGAACCGTCTGCACGAAGGTTTATGTCTGACAAGCCCGTCCTGCGTAGCTGCCTGGCTGCCTCTTGCCTGTGCACAAGAGTTCATGCAGCCCTCATGCTGTACAAATGGTTGCGCAGGCCTTGTCCAGCTGACTCAGCAATGTTTCCACACGCCGCACCTTGCGCCAGAGGCAAGACATCTCAGCCTAAGCCCGGTCTTAGCAGCAACCTTGTCTGCAAGAGCAGCCATGGACGATTCCATGCGTCGAAGCTCTGCGACTACCTCGTACTTGGCGGAAGAGCACTTCAAGAAAAATGGCTGTCTGCCTGCCTGTAGTTCGGCGTGCCCAGTGGCATGTCTGACTCTTTGGCTGATCTGGCTCAGCATGTCCTGGGTTGATATTCGAAGAACTGTGGAGAACCCCTTGCACAAGCATAAGGTCCAAAAGTGGTCCTGCGGCACCTGTGGCACCTGTGGCACATGTAACCTTCGATCATCAAGACCTGCAACGGCGAAGGCGCAGGAAACACACCATACGTTTCGTAAAACGACTACGGCCCAACCTGGAGGCCCCAACGGAATGGAGTGCTCATAGCCAGGCGGTGGAGGATACATGGGAGGCGGGCTGCGCGGTAGATGCGCCTGGCAAGCTGAGTCCCACCCACTGCATCAGAAGCCACTTTGCTGAAGATGCTGGGCTGCCTGTGGCAGCGCCATTCTGTACTACTAAGACCTTAGATAGGTCACACGTAGCTCAGTCTGCAAAAGGGAGAAGAAGAACAGATGGAAGAGGACACAATGCTGACCAGCATCATCTTGTCACGGCTGGGTCTACTGCAACACTTGAAGTTGAGCCGTGGTTTCATGCACGCAACATGCACGCGAGCACCCAAGCGGACAATGCCAGCTACAATCGGCAGCAAGCTGCGTAGCTGCTCCAGCACAATAATTTTCATGATACCGTTGCGAAAAATGCGAAAACGACGGAACAGGATGACCTGCACCCAAGGCCACATGCGGTTCTTTAGCCAGGTGGCCAAGACCATTAACAGTGTGCGGGAGATGTTCTCCCGCTCTCCAGCGCAGATAAAGATGCAGAGAGCACGTCAGCCCTCGCTTACTCAGCTGATTGCTGCTGCACTTTGGCCTCATTTGAACACTGGGTGCAGCATGGCAAGAGTGACCGGTGTGCAACATGAACACACTGAGACGGCTGCGATTTTGTCGGCAGTTGTAATTCCCATCTCGCTCTCGTACTTACTGATTTCCTTTGGCTGGCAGGTTCATGAGGCCGCTAGCGACAACAGCCAAAAGGTCGGTAGTGGCCTGGGCAATCTCTTCTGCTAGCGGCTTGCGCGACCCCTGCAGCAACCTGATCGAAGATGCAGCGGTGCAAGAAACAACTGGTAAGAACGAGAGAGAGAGAGAGAGAGAGAGAGAGAGACAGAGAGAGAGAAAGTGAAACACTGCTCTGGCATTTGGAATCTCTCTGATGCATGCCATCCGAACCCAAACTGCCCTCTCGAAGGCTTGTCAAACTCCAACAATTAGGACGGGCTGAGGGAACAACAGTTTGAAAATACCACCTATTTCAGTGTCTTGCGGGCACGCCTCACAACGTCCCCGTCGAGGCTTTCCAGATAAACAACCCATGGATTTGGATACGCACCTGCGTCACCAAGAGGGGACCTCCAGAATCATGTCCGCATTGTCCGTAGGTTTTGTTGGCTGAAACGATAGCAAATATTGATGTGGCAACCCTATCCTAACCGCTAAGTCTGGATTGACGTGCACAAAGGTCGGACGCAGTGCTCCAACATAGCCAAAAAGTTGCTTGTCCATTTATCCAACAGCTCTGCAAGAAAGCCGAGAATCGAAAGATGAGCACCGGCCAGTCGCTCAACAACCTCAAGGGGGACAGGCAAAGAGGAGATCCAGTACTGTGCACGCCTGCTGGGGCTTTGTCCAAAACTCAAGCTCACAAGTGGGGCCTAGGCCTAGGCTCAATGGTCATGACGGTTGATAGGCAAGTGGCAGGAGACGTATGTAGTATGTCTCCTCTTTGAACTGGTTGCAGAACCTCAGCTGCACGTGCAGAATCAAAGCAGCCTCAAAGCGAATGTCAAATCACGCTGCCTCTTGAGGATCTTCACGTCTCCGCCGAAGTTACCTCCGACGCTCACTTCGGTGCCTTTGTTTTCTATCCTGAGGGCGGGCGGCATGATGTTCCATAGCAAGTGAAGAGTTTTGTTGTATGACCAAAGACCGTGACATCATCTTTCACCTCTTCAACAAAAGCGCGGGCGTTCAAGTTTCTGAGCCCATCCAACAAGAACAGCCGAACACTCAGCGAAGCCTTTCGCACGCTGTCAATGTCTGCAATCCTCCAGCGGGGTTCCTGCCGTTCCTGACTCCTTCATCCTTGTCTGCTAACTGCCTACCTGACGTACTGAAGACTTTGGAGGATTCGCGGGGCTGGCAGTCTCCCACTGCTCCTCACATTTGTGCGGGGCGGGTAGGGCAAGTGGAGGGGGCTGTTGTTGAGGTTGCCGGCTTTCCCGAATGTGGGGTTTAGTAATCAGGCACGCCAGGAAGGCGTCCTTTTTTTGAGCTGCCGCGCTACATATCGCTACATCCTGAGTTTTGGCCTCGAGCTGTGCCGTGGCTAGCATTAAACACGCAGGTGCGCAAAATCGCTCAGACCTTCATCCTGGATCTTCTGAAGCTAGGGACGCCCTGAAAGAACAGCAGGAGGTTTGGGGGGTGGTCCTCCCTGAGGATTATCTGTGCCTGAAGCTGGTCGCAGCATCTTCCGCGTTCAGCATTACCACCAGGCGCTCTTTCATGCCATTGGTGAACTCAAAGGAGGGATCCTGAACTCATGTAGTAGTTTCCATTCTCTTTTCCATTATCCCTATATAACCCCAAAACCACCCTATATATACCCCATAGCCCCTATATAATCCCTATAGAGCAGAGAACTCAAAGGGGGGATCCTGCAGAACAAACTTGCGGCCGCCCAGGAAGATGACGGCAGCATCCTCACAATCATGTGAGTAATGTTTTTTTTGGTGCTTGAACCTAGTAAGATAATATTCCTTATATAAAATACTATACCCCAAAAGGAGGATAGAATCTTACTCTATAATGGGTACGATAGTATCCCCAAATAAAATACTACTCATGTTATTTTCCATTATTACCCTTAAACACCCCTGCGCACCTTTTCTAGTGCAAGCATCAGCTAGGGGAGGTCCAAAATGGCATTACCCACTCAGAACATTACCCCAATTTCGGATTAGGGTTTAGGGTTCAAGGTTTAGGATTTGGGGTTTAGGGTTCAGGGTTTAGGGTTATAGAGGGATAATGGAAAGCAAATGGAAACTACTGTATTGTAATAGGGTGTATATATACGGGTTGTATAGGGATAATGGAAAAGAACATGGAAACTATCATGTTCTAATAGGGTATATATTGGGGTTATATAGGGATAATGGAAAAGAAATTGAAAACTGCTAAAGTAGATTGGATTGTACTATAGTAGTTTCTATGTTCTTTTCCATTATCTGTATATAACCCCTATATTGGGGTAATAATGGAAAATAAAATTGAAACCCTCTAACATCACGAATCAAATAGAAAAACAAATGGAACATGAAATGACAACTGGGTTATAGAGGGAATTATGTACTGCACTCAGTGCTGAAGTCAACTTTGGTGACTGATAATGATGCTATTCCCAGCTTTTCTATGTACAATCCCTACTCTACGAGTACAGCAGAAGCCTCCGTCATGTCGCGGAATGAGCTTGCCAGTGCATATAACCCAGTTTCCGTTTCATTTTCCCTTCTCTTGTCCATTTGATTAGGTTGCCCGCAAGGAGTGGAGCCCGCTCGCTCAGCGTTCAATTCAATTCAAATTTCCATGTGATTCTCCATTTTTGGTGGTTTCCAGCTTGTTTTCCGTTATTACCCCAATATAGGGGCTATAAAGAATACTTAGCTTCGATAGTTTTCGAGCCTGCTTGGCATCATCAGTCACTCGGTACAGGAGCGTGCCAACGTCACCAGAGCTTGTGCCCACAGCATCAAACCTGGATACGCGCCTCAGCAACTTCAACAGACACGGACATCTCATCACCGTGAAAAATTCATCAAAACCTCCCTTGGCTTGGTAGGACTTTGCTGCCAAGGCCACACCTCCTTCAACGCCGCCCCTCCTGGAGCCTGCAGCCCCTTCGTGAAAGCCTGAACTTGAGAGACTGGCATGCCATGGAGAAGATGAAAAGACGCTGAAAACTGTGTGATAGTTGAGTCTGCGTGGATGCCTCGGCCATGGGAAGCGCATCGTTGAGAAGTGCTTCCATTCCAGCTTCTGTCACTCGATTTGGCGGACATACCATGTCCAGACGCCTCAAACTTCAAGCACAAGTGAAGCAGAGACAGTCCTGCTGTAACACCCACGGGGCAGTACCGTGCTTGCTGCATACTGAGCTTCTGACAAGCGCACTGACTGCCGCACGATCCCATCTTTGAAAGCCGCCATCACGGCTTCTGCGGCTTGATCAACCATCATTCTGGCCTGAGTCTGAGGTCATGCCGCGCCACAAATCACTCTTGCCTCTCTCTGCGATTCTCTGCGTGCTGACGAGCTGGTTGGAACTGGTCAGCAAAGGCACCGAATTAGGGGGCGAAACTTCTTCAACGGCTCGGCGCGGAACCTTGGAGAGGCAAGACGACGCACGGGCCTCAGAGAGCGCGTGGCTTTCATGCTGATACAGAACTGAAAGCAGTCAGCATGCAGGAGCTCGGCATGTGCGGAATCAATCTTTGTGAGGTGAGGAAAGACAAAGCCGACGAGGCTGCCTCACAATGGCCATTGAGAAGCTACTTGTCGTGGGCCGGAGCATGAAGACTCCTAGAGCTCTTGTTGGCACGGCAAGAGTCCAGTCACCAGCACAGCAGCAAAGCCCATGCCATGACCCAGTCTTCGGCGCCGCGACACGGCCATGGCAGCACTTTGATGTTGCGCCATGATCTAAGCTCTGTGGCAAACACACAAACACACCTTCCTGGGCATCAGCGGTGCAGAAAGCACCGAAACAGTGGTTTTCAGTGCCGGGCTGTAGATAACTTTGCAGGCCATCTAAGCGACCAATTTTCGACTGCAGTCTCACCACTCTGCTGCTAGCCACGAATGCTGATGTTGCCATGAATGTTGATGATAGCTTGCACACTCTTGGCTCAGGGTCAGCCTCAGTGGCTGTCAACGGTTAGGCTCTGGCTTGTCATGTATATCACAACAACCGAGAGATAGAAGCTGAGCACAAGCCCACCCGCTGAAAGTTGCATCTTCCAGCACATGTACACCTTGTCGTGCCTTATCCTTATCTGGTGTTGTGCAGACTCGCAGCGCGTGGCATCGAAGCCTGTCTAGCTGGAAGTGTGAAGGAGCCTTCGCCTAGGCCTAGACCAAAAGCCCTGAACAACAAGATATCGTCCACGCAGCATCAACCTAAACAGCAAAGGGACATGCGGAGGGCCGTCTCAAATGCAGGGAGAACAGCATCAGTACAAGGCAAACAATTTATTCTACAAGCAACTTCACCTTTGCCCCTTTTCTTCTGAAGCAATGTCTTACACGTCGTTGCGCGCGAGCCATTAACGGGGACTGCAGCTCCCTTGTTCAGCCGGTCCTGCCCACACAAGGAACGTCTGACAGTCACAGAACCTTGCCTGACAACGCTTACAAAGCCACATCCTGAATGTGAGGTCAGCTGCAATTGAAAGATGATCGCTGGGGTGCAACACCTCACATTCTTTTGAGATCCTTCACGTGGCTCGTTTCTGCCGTGACGGCTGAGACACGGACACTAGGAAGGCCACCATGTTCTTCTACGTCCTGCATACGCAGCTCTTCACCCACATAACAAGGATGAGCTGTCACCAATGGATCTTCTTCTGTCGGTCAGATCCTTAAACGCTACAAACAAGCTGAGTTGGCTTAGACGGCATCTCCTTCTCAGCTGGTGCCAGCCTGTCTGTCTGGCTCAAGCATTGCACACAGCAGTCATTGCAAATGTCACTAAGCAGCTGACAAGCACTTAGTGGATTGTAGCTGGTCATCGGTGAGAATGTAGTCCTGTAGCAGAGACGTGCAAGTTGAACAGCCAACTGCATGCAGAAGCGCTGCAGATCAAGTCTCCAGAATACCACGGAATTCGTGCACGTAGTTCGTGAACTTTTGCGGCGTTTTGGCATACCTTCCAGCATATAGGTGAAGGCAGCAGCTAGAGTTGCAGCACCATGCAGCTGAAGGACACATCCACCAATGCTCCGAGAGGGTTGTGTAAAGCAATGCCGCGGCCTTGGCATGTCAACTCCAAGCAGAACGTGCGAACGTGCACGAATGAAGAAATGAGATGGAGCAACAGGAAGATACAGTTTCCTCTTGGTGGGTCCTATCAGGAATGAACCCTAAAGCAGAACGCCAATCAAAAACCAAACTTGATCTAAAACCACAAGAAAGCCTCAAACTGTGACCATCAAAGCCAAAAGCCTTAACCCTATAGGCCCTAACTGTTGGAAGAGTTGTAACCCGTAAAAGCAAGCCCGGAAGACTCAACAGTGTAAACACTTGCGAACGAATGCCTGCCTAGAATAAGCGAACCACCAACCGAGTCAATCTCTGCCACTCCAACAGCTAATAGGAATGTTGTTGGGATGCGAGGGCTGTCAGCCTGACAATGCGTGCCAATATCCCCCCCAAGCTTGGAGCGCGATGCGCATAGAAGAATTCTTTAATGTCCCCCCAACTCCTGCATGTACACTGCACTTCAAGAGCCCCAGCACAACGGCAAAAACCACTTGGGAGAACAAGGGCGGGCACCCGCCAGATCACTTTTGTGATCTGGAGCAGGCACTGGCTGGCCCACCTGCAAAAACGAGCATCGCCAGAAAAAGAAGAAGAAAAACAAGTGCGCAGAGAATCAGACAGCACACCACCCCGCACCGCCCTCAGCGACACACCATGGACGAAGGCCAACCCTGCCCACCACCGACTGTGATTGCATGAGGCCCTCTGCGAAAGCACAGGGCACCAAGAACCAGACGACAACGTTTACATGCACGCCTAGAGCAAAGAAAAATCGGCAACCGATCCAAACTCTGCCCACCCCGAATCCGCCGACCAGGAAAGCCGTGGCCCAAATGGCAAGAAGCGCTGGCCTTAAACGGCGCCAGCCCGACTGAAAGGATATGAGCAACAATGAACAACAAACCCTAAACTAACCCCCAACATCGAAAACCTTAGAACTCTAAATCTCAACCCTAAGTGGTTGAAAGAGTGACCGCATTTGGTGTGCTTGCACGTGCCAAGAAACTATGGCTGGTTATGCCCGTGTGTGACAACTGGCATGCTCCATACTTCTGCATGCACATCTGTGT